TTTTTTTTTTTTTTCCTTTACATTAAATCATGATTTTTGTCTGAAAATCTATGTTCTATGCGCAAGATATACTTTTTTATTGGGAATTTTAAGTTAATATAAGTTTCTCTTGCAGAAAGGCAATCTTGGGCTTCGCTTACTCTGGCACCTCATGCATATAATCTTGAGCCTATGGTACTTTGTTCACAGTTTGATAAATGCACTCGAGAGCTTTCTTATATCGAGTGGTTTATTTAAGCAGTACAGAAATCTGGATATTAGCAAAGTTAAGTACCTGGCCATTGTTATAGAGAGTGAAGAAGCCCTCGACACGTTGAAAGTTTTTGAGCTATTACGATGGCTTGCGGATATTGGGTTTAAGAAAATGTGCCTTTATGATAAAGAAGGTATGGTTCCATTAATACTAAAGATTAACGTGGTAAAAATCCCATGTCAAAACTATGTTTTCACGTTTAAAGGTTGACGATTGGTAATAATGCCACCTTTGTTCTTTTTCTTGTAGGAGTGTTGGAAAAATCCAAAGATGCCCTAATGATGTGGTTGAAAAGTGAGAGAATGTCAAAGGTGAGTTAAATACCACCATCTGCTTGAATCTTTTCGTGTTTTAGTATTGACAAGCAACATATTCATTCAGAAAAGCTAATAGTAAAGGAACACGTTATATCCAGTCATTATCTTTTATTTCGGAAGTATGACTTTCTTAATCCCATTTTTCTGCTATTCCCATCAAAAGTACCTAAAGAGGTATTCCCATATAGTTTATCCTGTCCAGTCCAGAGTCAGATTCTTAGCCCATTCCCTCGTGATTACATTGGATTACGGGTTAACTTAACTCACCATAGTCTCTAGGCAACTCCTTGGAGTGATCTTTCTCGTGAATAGGCCGTTTGCAGGCAACATAGGTTCTTTTTGAAGTAGTAGTTAAGAACATCTCGAACCCTTCTATGAAATTGTAAACCTATCGTAACCTGAGGTTGATTTCATACTTCACTTTAAATTCTTCTATTATATTAAGATTGAGAGTTCCAATCCCGAAAGTCTTCCTACGAGTCTGCAAACTTAGTCTGTGTTTGGTAAGCATATAAGCTAGTTTATAGCTTATTTGATTAGCTTATAAGCTTTATATATTCAAAAAAGCTTGGTTTGTTAGGATGAGTTTTTCTAAAAAGCTCGAGTTTATCTCCTTGGGTAGCTTTTCAAATAAGCCCAATGAAATTTTTGTTTCAGCTAACTTACCAAACACGTCTATCATATAAGCTAGCTTTTCAGCCATAAGTCATAAGCTATCACTTATAAGCCCGAAAGTCACTTAAAAGCTATAAGCTAGCTTATCGGCTAGGTTTACCAAACATAGCCTCACAGCAAATTCAGAGGTTTATCTATACTTGTCAACTTTTTTATATTGTTCTGTTAATGGTGATATGCTATTTTTAGGTAATGGCTTTTCTTGTGCTTCATGTATTAGACAAGTGATAGTGTGTGTGAAATAACATCTTTTCTAAAATTAGTTATGATGGCGTTTATTCCGGAAAAAAAAAAGAACATCTTTATGCAGGAGGGTACTAGCGATCCAGTTCTTGAGCAGAAATATATGAGTTTGGAAGTGATTTCGTTTTCTGATTCAAAAGATGCGGTTGCAAAAGCAGCTAATTTTCTTTTGAAGAAGCATTACTTGGGTACTGACGAGACACCTGAGTTAACTGAACCTGACATGACAAATGCACTTGAAGCATTAGGTATGTTTTTTCTTGTCGAAAGTTGAATGAGTTCTTTACGGAACAGTGTATGTAAAGAATATGATAATAAAGTGCCTCTAGATTTAGGACATGTCAATCATTATTTTGGTGCAAATCAGGGTATGGGACTCTAGAGCCAGACCTCATGTTAATTTATGGGCCTGCGAGATGCCACCTAGGATTTCCAGCTTGGAGAAGTCGTTACACAGAGATGGTGTAAGTGTTGGCTATCGCACTTTATTTGCCAAAAACCGCAATTATTTTTTCGAAATCACAATATTCCCCCAAAAGTGTTACAAAGCATTCTTTGAGTTTTTATTTTATTTTATTTTATTTTTTTATTTAACAGATAACCCCTCTTGGCTGTGGATTCAAAGAATTACTGGATTATTTTTGTAATTAACCCGAAGCAGTACCTATATCTCATTAATTATTGATTTCAATAAATAAAATATTAATTACCTCTGTTTTCCTATACCATTTACGTTTTTGAACACCGGACTTAAAAACATATATATTTATTCGCAGACATATGGGACCTTTGAAATCAATGAAATTTGGTGCCATCATCAAGGCAATTCACAAGTTCACTACAGTACATCAGAACTATGGTACGTGTGACCGCTTCATTTATGTAATGTTTCAACTTCTTGACAGTCAAACGATTGCCAGTTGATTTATGTTCAACCGAGAATTTGAATTTAAAGGCCAAATGACATAGAGGGATATCCTTCATAGGATAGAAATCAGAAAGCAATTTTTTTTTTTTTCTTTTTAGTTCTGTGAGGTCATCACATCCTTCTTTCTCTCCTTGTTCTTATTTGGCTACTAATCTGATTAGGAGAAAATTAATTAGAAGTAAAGAATCATCATATCAATGCTATAAACGATTTAAGAGGATTTGAATTTTGAACGAGTCTATGCTCGTTGTTTGAATCACTTGGTTCTGTAGACTTGTAATGGAGTTAGTTTATTATGGTTCAAAAACTTGCCTCTGTTGTAACTTTCTTCACAGGAGCTTAACTTTGATTTTGCTCACTTTCCAGTTCTGAAATTAAAGTTAGTTTCCTTTTGTTCCCAGGTACATAAACCGTTATACTTCCAAATGGCAATTTGTTATACGCTATATACGAGGATAACATATTTGTAGGCTGCAGTGGAACATCTAAACTATGTACGGTTATATTGGATTTTACATGGTTGTGCGATTTTCTATCATGAGATGTACACAAAACGCTTTTCAACCATCTATCATATTTACCCCTCCCTCCCTCTCTAGGGTTGGCAAATTGTACTATCGTCGTGTTGTGTTTTACTCTCATATTTATTTTCATGTTATCCATTTTATTTCATCATTAATACGATAATAAATCAAATTTTATCTAGTTTATTCACTTTTGTATTTTCATGTTATCCAATTTATGTGATCATTAATACGATAATAAATCAAATTTTAACTAATTCTTTTACTTTGTGTTTCTCTTGTAGTGTACCGGTCATGCACATTGTGTTATTTGCCATTGTAATCGTTTTCTAATCATGTGTTCGGGTCATGCACATTGTGTCGTTTGCCTTTGTAATCATGTTTTCTAGTTTTGTTTTCTAATCATATTGTGTTCGTGTTTTATGCCGTGCCTCCCTACTTTTTGCACATATACCCACAAATTATCGAATCAAATAAATAAATAGTGTGGTTGGATATGAATTTGATTAGAAAAAACCAATCATTTTAACTCAATCACTATTTTTATTTATAACTTTAACACAATCCACTATCTTCAGTATTATCATTATAATTTAATAATATCAATCAATAATACTTGCATAACATATCAAATTTAATTCACCAGTCATTCACTCACATAATTTTATTCGAATCACCTTTCACCTAATTTTACATTAAATCAACTTTAGTTATTTTATTTTAAATATTATTTCAATAAAACTTCAAAATCTCATTAACAATTAATCATACTATATTTTTCAAAATTAGCTATAGTGAACAAAAAACAATAAAAAATAAATCAAATCCATATCCAATCAAAACCCTGATAGTGTTGAATCATTGTTGATCCAATAATTTAGAAGAACCAAACTGAATGTCATCAGTCAAAATCTAAAAATTCCCAGCAAGAATTTATACCAAAGGTTTCAATATGATAGCAAATGGGGCATACGATAAGCGATTACACAGCAATTAAATTTCACTTTAAAAGCTTTCTGGTCAAGGAAGGTCCAAAGGTTTAATTACATTTATCGGCCAACGAATTTCCTATGCTAGAGCTATGGTAAATTCGAACACGACAAGGCCTGGATAAGTAACCAACTTAAATTAAATTTTGATTGCACATCATGTTATGAGGGCTACATAATATTTGGAACATCATAAGACGGATGTATCCAGTTGAGTTCGACCATGCCTCTTAATTTAGTATTGGGTTTCCAAAATTCCATCAATGAGACCAAAATCCATGGCCTGCAACGAGGAAGAGAAGAAGTTGGGTTAGATTTAGAAAAATCGATGTCATGTGAACCTTGTCACAATTCCAGAGTTGAGAAAAAATGAAATACACGAAATATTGAAACTCTGAGATTATGTATACAGTATCCAGCAAACATAATTGAGAAATTTTAAAATTTGAAGTTTTGGTCCCAATAATCTCCCCACATTTCTTTTACATTTAACAGTTTTCAGAACATTGACAACTACTTAAAAGGTTAAATTAGAACATTGAAATTGCGGTATCTTGATTTGATAGGGATGATTTTTATTTTGATGTAAAAGAATCTGCAAAAACATCACCTCTCCCGCAGAAAAGAACGTGTCTCTGTTTGTGTAGGATTTTACTTTCTCCACAGGTTGGCCGGTTAAGGCAGAATACATTTTATCGAGTTTCTGCATCCAATAACGATCAGAACAAAGTTTGAGCACCAAATCGAGATAATCATTGAAATACTGCCATCACTTTCAGTCGATGCTCAGACAAGTGCCACAGGTGCATCGCCAAAAACTGGCATTTCAAAAGTTTGGTAATAGCATAGAGCACACGATCATAAACCAAAATACGAGTTTGATTTTTTTTTTTTCTTTTTTTTTTCAGAAGAATAGCATTGAGCATAGAATCATAAAACAACATATGAGTTCTGATTTTTTTTTCTTTTTTTCCCGAAGAAAAATATATTACTCTTGAAATGTGTTTAGTCACATAAAAACCTTTAGGAATATAAGGTTTGGTTCGAACAATACAAAAATTATTTCAGTGCATGACATCATATCTTGTATATTTTTTCAATTGCGACAAATTTCAACTGAGGATAATAGATTTTCATGGTAGTTATACAGAAGGTAATAGTAAAGTAATGTCAGAAGAAAACACAAAGGGGAGGCACTAACATTACGGAATTGAAGTACTTCATTTACTGCGGGCACTACATCATCGACAATACCCTGCATGCAAAGTAAGCACTTTAGTCCCTAAAACGAACTACAGAAAATGATATAGGTTAGAAACATCTGTAACTCGTGCACAATTAAATAAGTTTCATAACTAAATCACTTATGTAAGGCTGGCAATTCTCTCACCTGCCAATATCGCAGCAAAATCGGAAGACCTAAAGTCTGGAGAATTTACAGGATGCACATGTATGGAGTCTATGGACAATTAAAAACGTTCTCACAAGTATTGATGTTACTTTTGGATACATCATCGAGAAGGACTATGGATGAATAATGAATATGGTCATTCATAAAAGTGTTAACAAGAATATTCTTCTAAAGTTTCTCATTGTATTCATACTTTTTAGAAAGCAACTGCTCGAACTACGTTCACACTTAGGCGTTGAAAAAGAAAGAGATTAAAATATAATGTTATCTTACACATTATTCACCATCCAAAACTATTGGTTGAAACTGCGAAAGTAGCTGAAGTACACACAAGAGTGCCACCTCCCTTTTCTAGCATAAAAGAACAAACACCAGACTTTACTAGTTCTTAACCACGAGCTGGTAACTCAAATGGTACGGCTCATCCTTTGTACGGGTGTTGTACTCATACCCCTCAGTTTCTTAGGTATATATATAGGCATTTAGCATTTTTTTTTTTTTTTAAAAGACTTATTTAAATTTGCAGTAGTTCTTACCCCAGCCGAACCTTGGGGTGGATGGAGCATAATACGGGTATTTGGCATGGCACACCGCATACCTTTTTCTCCGCCAGCAAGAAGAAGTGAAGCATGGCTAGCTACCATTCCAAAACATACGGTACCAACCTTGGGCTTTATCTGAAGCAAAGATTTATTGCAACAAAACAGAAGTAGGAACACTTCAAGCCCAAAAAATATGATGCTAAAAGTTATGCAGGGTTGCCAATACTTGCTGCATTCGAGAACAAGAATTTGTGTCGCAAGAGATCAAACAACAAGGAAATAACTATCTTACCCATGACATGCAGTCAAATATCGCCATGATAGAATAAATACTCCCGCCTGGGCAATTAAGATACATCTAAAAAGCAAACCCAGCAATAAGCGTAAGCAATTAGTCTCAGCAAGGTCTTAACTTTCTAATACTTCAACATGTTATTAGGAGCTTAAAGAGGACATACCAAAATATCTGAATCTTCATCAATTGTCGCCAAAGTTACTAGTTGTGATATGACTCTCTGAGCTACCTCTGAATTAATAAACTGACCGATGAAGATTATACGATTTCTGAACAGAACTGCGGAAAGATCCAAAGGTCCAGCAGGAGTCATCACTGCTGGCATGATTGGTGGATTACTCTTTCTAGCTTCTATGACACTGTTGCTGATGAAGGAAAGATATTGGTAAGTTCGAATATAAAACAAACAACTCCACAATCCAAATAACAGATAATAAGCTGCATCCACATTTACTGCCAGCAAGCAGACGACAGTTGAAATCCATTCTGGAGTTGATTTCAAGAAAATTTCCATTCAAGTGCAAGGTTCACAGTTATGCTTGCATAATTTTGTTCTTTCAATTGAAAAGCGTACATACCAAGTTACCAACGAGGAAATTTACCACACCAAACTTGCAATCTGGGACAATTAAAATAGTTAAGAACACAAACATGAAACCGCCAGAAAAGTTTCAAACCTATCAAATCCTACCCAAACACCACTGAGACTGTAAACTATAGCTGTTCAGGTCTACAAAACTTTGAAGGAATTAGTTTTTGAAAATCTTGTGATGTAGAGAATAAAAGCTAGCTCGTGTCCAAAAACCACAAACATCCTAATCATAAAAGCATAGACAACCCGATGGATATCTACATTTAGAGCGAGCAACTCACTTCAAGATAAGCTGTACATCACCCATTCATTTCCAAACAACAGTTACATCATTTCTTTGATTCTACCATAGGCCTCGGCGCCCTTAAGTACACGTGCAATTACGAATATGAAAAGGTTGAAGTTCAAGCACAACATAAAGTATAAATCAAGTGTCTTACCAGTCAGTCATATGCAAAAACAGTCTTGCAGCAACTTATTTCATCTAACCTATCCAGCATGTACTGAACTCTTACAGGTAAGTTTACACAATCCATTTCAAGTTGTTCAAAGACACATTCATTACTCATCTACAATATCCCAGTTCTTGGAGAACAAACCTCGGATTGGAATAGAGATCATTCTGGTCAAGCTTTAGCGGCGACCTGCTTGTTTTACTAGAAGACCCTGGAAATACAACACAATGGGTCGATATTTCATCACACCCAGACATAATTAACTAGGGAAAAAAATGCAAACAAGTAATCCCCAAAAAAAAGTCAATTTACCATAAACAATACCTAAATAACAATATCCAACAATCAAAAAGGGTACACAAGCTCCGTACAAATCTGTATCTCACTGCTGAAGATTTTCAAAAAAACTATTCTGCATTCACGATTTTTATGAAATAAATACCTAGTGGAGGAGAATCTCCATAGGAGCCCGACAAAGCTGAAACCACAGATTTCGAAGATAAATTTCTGCCCATGGTAACATAAAATCATTAGGTGAAGAAAACAAAACCACGCGTCAGTAAGTATAACATGCTTAAATCTTATTCACAAGCAGGATTGTAGTACCTCTGAGGAAAGAGAATGAAGGAAGAAACTCGGTAACGAGGTGATGCGATTGGCAGATTCAGCGGAGCTGCCATTGCTGACGCCGCCATCCTGCAAGGTAGTGAGCGGATAGAGCGCCTGTCCGAAGAAAGGTGAAGACGAGATTCGATTTGGGGGTTTAGAATCGACCCGTTTTGTGACCCCAAATTTGAAAGTATGAATTGGCACGTCCACTTTTACATCCAGCCCAATTATTGTGCGGCCCAATTGGAAGGCCCGTCATGTATTTTATTCCTTCTTGGTTGTTTGTTAGGCGCTGTTGAGTACGACTCGTTTATCGAAATCATTAAGTTAACGAATCAAGTGGATCTCAACTCGTTAAGTCTTGAGAATAAAAGTTTCGATTTTGCTATGAAGCCAATAGTTGGCCTCATAGCAAAACCGAAAAAAGTTTTATGTAATGTTTGTGAATTTTTACTTTAGTTCAAGTCGTTAAAGTTCGAGTTTGACTCGTTAGTATCGATAAACAAGTAAGATCCAAACACTTTTAATTAAAGAGCTTGGCTCGATAAATGCTTGAAGTTGAACCAAAGCTCGACGATCCCAATTCAGTAAAGTTTGAGAATAAAGGTTTTTATGGGTGCGATCGAATATTTAAAAAAAATATATATAGAACTAGATTGAATATAAATTTTTAACTAAAATTCACCAATCATATAATCTAACTCCATTATATTCAATATTATATAATAAATGATAAAAATCATTACAACACCGTTGACAATAAAATCACTACTAGTACTAATCCCGTGCGATGCACATGTAAGAGATATTCTTTAATATTTAGAAATTAAAATTTCTCATTAAATAATATTTATAAATTAAAAATATGGAATCAATATTACATTTTACCTTTATTAATCTATTGAAAATGTTATATAAAATTTAAAATTATGCAAAAGTACATAAAACATGTCTATTTAAAATTAGTACACAACTCGTACGGTGCACATAACTGATAATAAATTACATTACACTCATTCCAAATAAGTGTAATTTTTAAATATTTTATTCAGAAATTCGATTTGATTACAATGTGATTCCATTTTTATAGAATAAATATTTTAGTAAAATTTTATCGTATATTCAAAAATCTATGTGAATAATAAGTATAATTATAAATCTTATAGTATTCCATTAATTAGATGGTTTTATTTTTTTATAAAAATTCAAATCAAAATATTGAACTGATTGAGTAATTTATTAAACTATGAATAATTGACTATTTACGTCAAAGTAAATGTTCACTGGTAAGTTATGAATAATTACTTATTTGACTTATGAATTTGGAATCCAAATTTGGACTACACACCAAATTCCCTTATATATTTGATATATGAATATTATATATATATATATATATATATATAATCTCGCAATTTTGTAGAGTCGTTGTCGATTACCTTATCATTCAAATTTAACAATTAATTTTCTAGAATAAAATTACGGATTTTTAATTTTATTAACCAATATTTCTTCAAATCTTATGGTAAGTTATATTGTAATATGCTAAAATTTAAGAATTATATCACCTTGACTTTACAACAAATCAGCCTAAAATTTGACTTTCATACTCCTACCAAATAAAATTCATACCACTTATTTTGTTTAAAGAATTTCCAAATATACTTTTATCCATACCAAATAACTATATTTTATGAATGATAAATTAATTTATGTAAATGTTCTTTTCTTACTAAACTAATAATTCATATATTAAGTTAAAGATGAATCGTTACTTTATCAATTCAATGTCACATATGCTTGATGATTGAAAAATTTATTTATATATATTTTATATTTTCTTAAATAAAATTTTCAAATAGATTACTGTAATAAAAATTATATAATATAAATTTTATCAATGTAAATTTATAATTTATTTTATAAGATAATCCTACCCTTATTTATTTTATTTAAAATATTATCAATTAACAGAATTTAATTATTTATATTTCATGATTAAAAATAATTATCTAGTCCGCCATGTGTTATTATTTGAAAGCTTATATATATTTATTTTCTTTGGTCTTTATCAAACTTAGAGTTTATTATTTAATTATTCTTACATTAGTGTCTCATACGCTTTATGTATTGGTCCAACTATTTGGAAAGAACAACATTTATTTTGTAAACAAAAGGTGAAGTTCTCATATTGTTTAGAGAATAACACGATTTATGTATTGGTCCAACTATTTGAAAAGAACAACATTTATTTTGTAAACAAAAGGTGAAGTTCTCATATTGTTTAGAGAATAACAATTAGCAATTAGAGAATAACAATGAAGTTCTCGCATATCCATTCACCGAAAAGAAAAAATAAATCTATTTTCCAATGTAGTTTTTTCAATTTTTCACCTTGGCTCAGCTTGTTAAGTGAGTTCGAGCTCGTTTATGAGCTCGATTAATTATAAGATCACACCGGCCGATACTGCATCGGCGAACACTCTCGGCGCCGCCGTCAAAATGTTCATCACCAGGTATATGTGTGGCGTTTTTTATTTTATTTATTTATTTTGTTCCATGTAATTTATTCTCTATCTCCATCTCAATCGATTTGATTTGGAAAGTAAAAGTAAATTTATGTATCCATCTGGCTGAACAGATGTGTTCTTGCTGAGTTCAAGAGTTTAGGTTATTTTTATTCCGACTCGTTGAATGCTGCTCGAAATCTGATGACGGCGGCGAGGTGAGCTGTGTTAATTTCTCTTGTTTCTCGATCATTATTTTGTATTTATGCCTTCTATCAAGAGAATTGGTTGATAAACACAAGAAAAGTGCCATTAGTATCTTTGTTTTGTGAATCAAATAGAAGGTAGATGTACAGAGGTTAGCACATGAATAATTACCATATAATTTGTAATCCAAAAATTTTAAATGTTGAAAAAAATGGCTGGGTCGATGCCTGAGTAGGGTTGTAAACAGATCAAATATTTTCGATTTGATTCGTGATTCAAATTCAGTATTCATGAAAATTCAAATTTGATTTCGAATTCAAATTTTGAACGTTCTCAAATGTCTGAGGAATTTTATCAATGCTATTGATATGCATTGCATTTAATAATGGAAACAAGCTAATTTTATCATTGTCTATGCGCCTTCAGATTGGTTAACCAATGGAAATTTTTCACTGGTCTCAGGAAAAGCTGAACCTGTTTTAGCATGATTGCTGATCAGTGATCCATATTGTATACTGAAATAAAACAGTAGAAAAATACTTCTATCAGATCGTCACTGTCTTTCCATTCTGATTCACTTGGTTGACCAATCGTTTTTCCCGAAATACGTTCATCTGATTCTGAAAATCTGAAAAGTTGTGATTGCAGGAAAATGAAGGTAATCGCCAGGAAAAATTACGTTCGATTGATTCATAGCAGATTCGGAAATCTCGAAAAATTGTCTGTGACTTGTGCTTTGGTGTAGTTTTATTTATGAGTTCAAGGTTTACTCCCAGAGCACAACTCATGATTGCAGTGGACACAAACACAAAACAAGTTTGCTACATTTTCCAGAAATAATACACGGTTACACGCCTATTTATTTATTTATCCATACATGGAATTTTTTTACTGCAGATTATTATATAAAACCACACATTTTTACTCCTTTAAACTATTCGCGGGAACCAAAACAAAATTATCCGCCGGAAAGAAATGGCAAATGGGCGACGACCCTGGCTCTGCTCCGAGCACTTTAAACGACACATGATTACGGCTCCAATGGGAAGTGTTCATGTGGCATACTGCAACTGCATTCACCTCATCTCCATTCTCCCCTTCAAGCGAAACCCGGTAAATTCTGTTTTCACTCTCTTGGTAATGGCAGTAAAAAACGGCGTAAGGGTAAGGCATCGTGTGACACGCCACCATTTTTGGAGCTTTAATCTCCCGTATCTCCCTTATCGTGTACCTTTGCAGAAGAACGCTATTATCTGAACGCTTTACATGATTTGTGGATAGAATTCGAATCTCATCTCCCGAGCCAATCATCGATTTCGCAAAATCGAGCATGGATTCAAATGAAGTCGCGCAGAGTTTCGTCTCGCCTTCGATGGGACTCGTCTCGCATTCCCTTAACGTGTCCTCCATAGCCATTGCTTGTGGGGAGTTTTCGGGTAAAGAGAAGTATTCAAGCAAGTAATGAAATTTTTCGGACGAGAAGGGAATTGAATCAGCCTCGGTTTTCGAAAGTAAATGATTTGTTGCTTCGGATAATTCTCGATTCGGAAAGTAGACAGGCATCGTGTTGCCTTGCGTGAGGTCATCGAGGAAGAAGAAGACTATGGTTGATGGATCCATCATGTGGTGGTGGTGATGATGATGGGAGGATGAATGTGATTGGACTACTTGCTCGATGCGAATGGGTTTGTTCGAGATTTCGTTCGAGCCGTTTGTGTTACGTGATAATACCTGCAAAATTGAATTGTGATCGGAACGAAATTAGAAGCTTTTTGTTGATATAAGCATGATTTTTTTTAATGCTTTTTTGTGTTGGAATTGTGTTACAATTATCTTGGCAAGAGTTTGTGTTGATGGTAGTTATTTTGGGAGAGAAGGAGTTAATTACCAGTAGTATCAGTAGCAGGATAGAACAAACTGCAAGCTTTACATCCATCTCTCTCTCTCTCTCTCTCTCTGTGTGTGTGTGTGTGTGTGTATGTGTGTGTAATAGGTGTAAGAGTGCAAGAATGAAGATAGTAATGAATTTATTGAAAAAAAATCTTAAGGATGGCTAATTATTTAAGGTTATCTTGGTGATGTAAGAGATGATGAATAGCAAGGTCTATTATTATGGATTTGGTGTTTTGTCTGCCAATAATGTGCAAGTTGAAATTGTTAATTAAT